GTTTAACGAATTAACACAGTCATTCGCGCCAATAAATTAAAGATTTATACAGTGTATAAAGAAAGGCTCTTGGAACCAGGCACCAGTATTAGTAGTAGATAGCAAAGTTCACGTTTTACAACAAATTGAGTTGTGAAATCAATTTTAATCACTAACAAATCCGCATGCTTCTCTAAAGAAATTTATTAGCTTTACAGACGAGAATGAAATCTAGGGGATTCGCAACAACGAAAGACATACTTGTTGCTTGTTTGAAATTACTCATTTCTTCTCCGGAATTTTTTCTTTTTGTCACTCCTTTGGTCCGACTAACAAGCCGGCGTGTTTGCAGGCGGTCATAAATCAACTTTATGTGCTCTGAACTGTTATACGAATACGAAGATGGTACAATAACTCTACCAAAGTTTCAAATACAGAATATATTTTTGTTGCTGCTTAAGACTTTTGGGTGTTTCATTCCCGTCAGTCAGTAATGCTCGTGGGCGGGCAGTCCCTCCGGACTTCGCCGGAAGGTACGGCGGAAGGCCCTCTTGAGCCTCCTTTCAGGAATCGTGGGAATGGGTGGGTTGTGGTTCGGGTGAGAAAATTGAGTCGGACGAAATGAAGACAGAAGAGAATGAAAGATTATCTGTGGAATATTACTGTCACAGTGTTTGTCTAAGTGATTTGCTTAAGTGATCCAAGGCAACTACAGAAAAACTTGGACCAAAACTGACGGACCAGGAATCGAACCAACATCCTCTCGAATGCTAAGAAATGACTTAACCTCTAGTTCATTCCGCTCGGTATTTGCAGTTTATTTCACGACGACAATTTGTAGTTAAAAGACAGCCCCTATTTAGAAGAAAACCGGAGATGAAGTGGAGATACGTCGACAGCAGGGGGATGTGGCTAGACTATGGTTAAAATAGTTGCCGTAATGTGAAATGTAATGGAAAAACGTAGCAGATACGTACTCTACAGTAGGGTCACTTCTTCGATCTGATCTAAAATTCCGGAATTTATTTTGCATGCGTTCATAAATCAACTTTATCTACGCTGAATTGCTATAGACAAGGACGGTTCAATAATTTTGCCAAATTTTCGGATACAGAACAGATTTGTACTGCGGCTTGATGACAATAATCTAAATTTTTAAGACAGCCTCTTCTTAGTGGGTAACAGGGAAGTCGAAGATGAAGTATTCATATGTCGACAGGAGGGGGGTGTGGTTAGACTATGGTTAAAATGGTTGCCGTAATGTGAAACGTAATAGAAAACATAACAGTATGGTAACTCCTTCGATGTGATCTAAAATCCGGCGTTATTTTTTACAGGCGGTCATAAATCAACTTTACATGGCCTGAACTGTTATAAACGGGACAGTTCGATAATTTTGCGAAATTTTCAAATATAGAACATTTTTTTACTCCGACTTCATGACAACAATCTATATTTGCAAGACAGCCCCTATTTAGAGGGTAGTGGCGAAATCGGAGATGAAGTGGAGATATATCCACACGAGAGGGATGTGGTTAGACTATGGTTAAAATGGTTGCCGTAATGTGAAACGTAATAGAAAACATAACAGTATGGTAACTCCTTCGATGTGATCTAAAATCCGGCGTTATTTTTTACAGGCGGTCATAAATCAACTTTACATGGCCTGAACTGTTATAAACGGGACAGTTCGATAATTTTGCGAAATTTTCAAATATAGAACATTTTTTTACTCCGACTTCATGACAACAATCTATATTTGCAAGACAGCCCCTATTTAGAGGGTAGTGGCGAAATCGGAGATGAAGTGGAGATATATCCACACGAGAGGGATGTGGTTAGACTATGGTTAAAATGGTTGCCGTAATGTGAAACGTAATAGAAAACATAACAGTATGGTAACTCCTTCGATGTGATCTAAAATCCGGCGTTATTTTTTACAGGCGGTCATAAATCAACTTTACATGGCCTGAACTGTTATAAACGGGACAGTTCGATAATTTTGCGAAATTTTCAAATATAGAACATTTTTTTACTCCGACTTCATGACAACAATCTATATTTGCAAGACAGCCCCTATTTAGAGGGTAGTGGCGAAATCGGAGATGAAGTGGAGATATATCCACACGAGAGGGATGTGGTTAGACTATGGTTAAAATGGTTGCCGTAATGTGAAACGTAATAGAAAACATAACAGTATGGTAACTCCTTCGATGTGATCTAAAATCCGGCGTTATTTTTTACAGGCGGTCATAAATCAACTTTACATGGCCTGAACTGTTATAAACGGGACAGTTCGATAATTTTGCGAAATTTTCAAATATAGAACATTTTTTTACTCCGACTTCATGACAACAATCTATATTTGCAAGACAGCCCCTATTTAGAGGGTAGTGGCGAAATCGGAGATGAAGTGGAGATATATCCACACGAGAGGGATGTGGTTAGACTATGGTTAAAATGGTTGCCGTAATGTGAAACGTAATAGAAAACATAACAGTATGGTAACTCCTTCGATGTGATCTAAAATCCGGCGTTATTTTTTACAGGCGGTCATAAATCAACTTTACATGGCCTGAACTGTTATAAACGGGACAGTTCGATAATTTTGCGAAATTTTCAAATATAGAACATTTTTTTACTCCGACTTCATGACAACAATCTATATTTGCAAGACAGCCCCTATTTAGAGGGTAGTGGCGAAATCGGAGATGAAGTGGAGATATATCCACACGAGAGGGATGTGGTTAGACTATGGTTAAAATGGTTGCCGTAATGTGAAACGTAATAGAAAACATAACAGTATGGTAACTCCTTCGATGTGATCTAAAATCCGGCGTTATTTTTTACAGGCGGTCATAAATCAACTTTACATGGCCTGAACTGTTATAAACGGGACAGTTCGATAATTTTGCGAAATTTTCAAATATAGAACATTTTTTTACTCCGACTTCATGACAACAATCTATATTTGCAAGACAGCCCCTATTTAGAGGGTAGTGGCGAAATCGGAGATGAAGTGGAGATATATCCACACGAGAGGGATGTGGTTAGACTATGGTTAAAATGGTTGCCGTAATGTGAAACGTAATAGAAAACATAACAGTATGGTAACTCCTTCGATGTGATCTAAAATCCGGCGTTATTTTTTACAGGCGGTCATAAATCAACTTTACATGGCCTGAACTGTTATAAACGGGACAGTTCGATAATTTTGCGAAATTTTCAAATATAGAACATTTTTTTACTCCGACTTCATGACAACAATCTATATTTGCAAGACAGCCCCTATTTAGAGGGTAGTGGCGAAATCGGAGATGAAGTGGAGATATATCCACACGAGAGGGATGTGGTTAGACTATGGTTAAAATGGTTGCCGTAATGTGAAACGTAATAGAAAACATAACAGTATGGTAACTCCTTCGATGTGATCTAAAATCCGGCGTTATTTTTTACAGGCGGTCATAAATCAACTTTACATGGCCTGAACTGTTATAAACGGGACAGTTCGATAATTTTGCGAAATTTTCAAATATAGAACATTTTTTTACTCCGACTTCATGACAACAATCTATATTTGCAAGACAGCCCCTATTTAGAGGGTAGTGGCGAAATCGGAGATGAAGTGGAGATATATCCACACGAGAGGGATGTGGTTAGACTATGGTTAAAATGGTTGCCGTAATGTGAAACGTAATAGAAAACATAACAGTATGGTAACTCCTTCGATGTGATCTAAAATCCGGCGTTATTTTTTACAGGCGGTCATAAATCAACTTTACATGGCCTGAACTGTTATAAACGGGACAGTTCGATAATTTTGCGAAATTTTCAAATATAGAACATTTTTTTACTCCGACTTCATGACAACAATCTATATTTGCAAGACAGCCCCTATTTAGAGGGTAGTGGCGAAATCGGAGATGAAGTGGAGATATATCCACACGAGAGGGATGTGGTTAGACTATGGTTAAAATGGTTGCCGTAATGTGAAACGTAATAGAAAACATAACAGTATGGTAACTCCTTCGATGTGATCTAAAATCCGGCGTTATTTTTTACAGGCGGTCATAAATCAACTTTACATGGCCTGAACTGTTATAAACGGGACAGTTCGATAATTTTGCGAAATTTTCAAATATAGAACATTTTTTTACTCCGACTTCATGACAACAATCTATATTTGCAAGACAGCCCCTATTTAGAGGGTAGTGGCGAAATCGGAGATGAAGTGGAGATATATCCACACGAGAGGGATGTGGTTAGACTATGGTTAAAATGGTTGCCGTAATGTGAAACGTAATAGAAAACATAACAGTATGGTAACTCCTTCGATGTGATCTAAAATCCGGCGTTATTTTTTACAGGCGGTCATAAATCAACTTTACATGGCCTGAACTGTTATAAACGGGACAGTTCGATAATTTTGCGAAATTTTCAAATATAGAACATTTTTTTACTCCGACTTCATGACAACAATCTATATTTGCAAGACAGCCCCTATTTAGAGGGTAGTGGCGAAATCGGAGATGAAGTGGAGATATATCCACACGAGAGGGATGTGGTTAGACTATGGTTAAAATGGTTGCCGTAATGTGAAACGTAATAGAAAACATAACAGTATGGTAACTCCTTCGATGTGATCTAAAATCCGGCGTTATTTTTTACAGGCGGTCATAAATCAACTTTACATGGCCTGAACTGTTATAAACGGGNTAAGCAATTATTACTTATGCCCCTCTTGTTAATGAGAATAAAAATAATTATTTTATTTTTGTCAGAGACTGACATCGATTAAAGAAACTTTTCACTTTTTAACTTCCTATTTGCTTATCCTTAATTTTAAAGACGAAACTGTAACATTCCTTCCCGGTTAAGAAATCGCATTTAATCCTTATTATTAAGAAAAGGATTTTCGTCTTCGTTTTGCTTTGGTAGAAATTCGTACACGGGAGGTAATGTCGTATTTAATACATTAATTCTATAATATTTTTGTTGAAATGCCTAATACAAAAGTTTACCTGTACACAAAAGGCCCAACTTCTTGCAACTTTGGTTTTTCTCCTTGGTTCAGAAAATTGTCCGGGTTGGTGACATTGAAAATGTAAACTTTTGTTAATCTTACTACGCCAGGTTTTTGCCAATAGTAGAAACTAAGGGATCCATTTGACAACCTTAAATGCTGAAAGAAAGAAAAAATAAGGAGAATTAGTATACATTGATCTTATGATAAAAAATTTACGTCAACCACTACAAATGTATTAAAAACCGCTTTTCTATCTATGCATTAATGTAAACACGTTCAATCTGGCAACTCCGGAGTTGACGTAACTATACTTCATTTACTTTTTCTAGCCAATGTCTTGGATGCGCGCTGGCAAAATCGTAGGTAGGAAGAAAAGAGCTCACTATACTCTCGATCCTTGTTCATTAAACATACTCTTTCATACAGTATCTGCCAAAAGTTTTGTTCAATCATGAATAGTAGTGCGAGTCGAAAACAAGCGTTAAAGCCTTTATTATGTTTTCAAATATAAATAAACATCTCGTTGATATTTTCAGTAGTAAATGGTACCAATAACAGCATATTTGAGCAATGCAATTGTAGTGGATAAAATGGTCAATTTTTCCGTGCAGTACTGTACGGAATATACGCTCCTCACCGGTTAAGAGTTTGGCCGAGAGGTGTCTCCTTTCTTTTCTGGCCTAGTGCTGTTCTTTTCTACTTTGCGCCGATCAAACTGAAGGTCACATCGCTACAGAAACTAAACGAAGTATGCTACCTTATATTTTTTCTCAAATTCTGTATTGACCAAGAAGTTACATTGAGTCGTGTTGTCTAACATTAAGTACAGTGCTGATTTTCGTCGTTTTGTTTCACAGCCAACGATTGTATTCTAGATTTAGCATATAACTACGTCTTATCGTGGTGGCTGCGCCATATTGTAGGCCCCCAATGTGTTTTAATTGTAACAAGCAAGGGGAGCTATTGTTGTAACGAAATTACGACGTAATGTCAATGACTATCGTTTGCTTATAAGATCTGCTACGTGTTATAACGCATATTTGCCATATTAAGTAAAACTATTGTCGCAATCCCCATGTTCGGGAACACACAAGAAGGAAACGGGATAACGAACTAAGGAGACACTTGAAATTTCCAGTTTACGACCGTATCCTGGAAGTACACGGAAAGGGATTGTCAAGAGCGTTCTTGAGCACCCTCCAACATGCCCGATACCGTTTAACGGGGTTATCAAGTGATTTTACGACAACCACAGCGGCCTGCTAGATAAACGGAAGCAGAGAATCAGAGAGATGATAAAATCAAAAATATTTGCCTGCTACATACTACTGCGACGAGAACGTTACGCCATATTACTCTCTTCTTTTGTCTTGTTCCATTCGCTCCACCTATTTTCATGAATCCACACTGCAGAGGCATTGTTTATTCTGGCAGTCCTGATTTTTGTTCGTTAAATTCGAAAAAGATTGTTAAAGGTGTATGTTTAGAATGCGGATCTATACGGGTACGAAACATAGACGGTGGGCGCGGCGGAAAAGGAAGGGTTGGAAGCGTTCGAAATGTGGTATTACCAGTGAATGATGAGGATACCGTAGATAGAGAAGGTTAGAAATGAAGAAGTATTAGGAAGAATAGGAGAACAGAGGATTCTATGGAAGTCAAGAAGAAATAGGCGAGATAGGTTGGTAGGACAGCTTCTCAGACATGAAGGTCTAGTCAGAGAAATATTAGAGGCAGAAACGGGAATTAGAAGTAGACCTAGGGGAATGTGGGTTGTTCTAGATTTAAGGAAATACGAAGATTAGCTCAGGATTGCAAAGAGTGCAGGTGCGTGTCCAACCAGACTTAAGACTGACGACCTTATAATGATGAATGAAAATTGTTTAGTTATGCTACAAACTCAGTTACTTACGAAGTGGTTCAATAACAACGATTGCTAAACTGACAAAGATTTTCAGCTCATGGGATTTACTCATTTTTTCTGAGTTTTGCAAACAATTCTGCATTAAATAGTAGTAGTATTTCACGTTTCGTTTCCAACTATTTCTAAAAGGAGGCTAAAGAGCGCCTCCCGCCCAAACCTCTGGCGTAGGCTGGAGGGACTACCCATAGCTGGTGGGAATGAAACACCTTTTATTTATTTTTTTCTTCTGATGAATTAAGAAGCTTCGTTAACAATCGCTCGACTTGAGTACCAATTTTTTGAATGTGGTTCAAGGAATTTAATAGTTCTAACACGCCTGAAATCCTCTGACTTTGCAGTCTCTTTGTTTGACCAACGTAGATCTTCCAGCAGATGTTTCATATTGATCTTTCATCAATTCCATCTTTTTGTAATTTATTTAATCTCAAGTCTTTGAGTCGTGGATCTTCCAATTGTTTCGTTCTTACTAATTGGATTTCTTGTTTGCTGGGTTTCGATTTAAATTACGAAAGTGCTTAAGCATTGCGGACAAACTTGTTGAATATTGAAACTCAAACAACAAAATTTAAATAGATTTTAATTAAATTAAGTGGTTAAATGAAGTTCTTCGCTAAGCTATGTCACGCCGACTCTATCAATGAGAGTAAGTAATACTTTAGTTGTTCTTAATACAGTAGGTCGTGTTTATAGACCTTCGCTGCGACTATAATAGAAACATTTCGATAGAATTCTACCGTACCTAAAAAGTGAGGCGCGCCTAGGTGCGAGACATTTAGAACAATTAGCTTAACTTCCTGTGCGTCAAAAATCGTAACTAGAATTGTGCAGAGAAGGATGGAAAAAAGGGCGGAGGAACTATTAGGGGAAGATCAATTTGGGTTTAGAAAAAATAGAAGAACGTGGGAGGTCATTCCAGCTTTTCTTGGAGAAAACGATAGATATAGCTTTAAATAAAATGGAAGCGGTATTGATAAAACAGTATTGTATGAAAATAAATAAATACTGATACTCAAGGGAAGAGAAAGTTGAGAAAGTGCGAATATAAAGATAGGAGACGTGGTTAACTTTTGGTATCTAGGACGTCAGACGACTCAAGATGGAAGAAGCAATAGAGATACAAAACAATGAATAGCGCAGGGTCTAGTCGCCTTCCATAAAAGGAAATTTGGAAATTCAAACGTGATTGTTAAAGAGAAAAGGCGGAAAAGAAAAGGTTAGAAGCATTCGAAATGTTGTTACAGGCGAATGATGAGGATACCTTCTCAGGCATGAAGATGTAGTCAGAGATATATTGGAGATAGAAACAGAAGAAACCTTAATTAGTTTACTGTTCACAAATAGTGAAGGATGTGGGATGTTCTAGTTTCAGGGAAATTCGAAGATTAGCTCAGAATAGGAAACAGTGGAAATGCGTGGTCTAACCAGTCTGAGGAAATTTAGACTTATTGTGACCCAGGGCCGGTTCAAGCGGTGTGGCGCACCGGGGCCTCCGCAGTCGAGGGGCCCCTTAGCAGTTTTCTGTTTTCAAAAAAATGACTTCTAAAAAAAACTATGCTGTTAGAGATGAGCTGAGTCAAACTACGAAATGAACATCATAATTTTTTATTTTACTTTTTGACGTGATAACGTCTTATCATTCGATGGAGCCGGCTGCACGCTCGAAAAAACATGACTCATGCGGCGTTACCTCACTTTGAGGCGTTCCATTTAAGGATTAAAGTGCAAGCGAGAGCGCGGAACGAGCGACAAAGAGGCACAATCGGCCTCCGCGTTCGGCAGCGTTCGACATCTGTCTCTCTGCTACTTGAGTGAGCGATGCGTCCGCGTGGACAGCTGCTATACAATAATACATTTCCATTTACCTCCTTCTCTATATCCATACAAAATATCTATCAAATAAATAAAATTAAAATTTTCTTTTGNCTATGGCCCTGTTGGGACCTACAGTAAAATATTTAGTAACTTCTGGCCATCGGTCCTGATCGACCATGAAATTGTCACTCAACGATTTTAGTTTTCATAAAAAAAACTATATAAACGATCTAAGTAGCATTTTCAGTAAGAAAATGTCATTAATTCATTCAGCGGTTTCAAAACGGTTAGTCGTGCCCGTTCACATGATGTAAAGTTGGAACTTGCATTTCATTAATACCCGTCGCTCTTTCGTACTAGTTCGGGTCTTAAAACTTTGTGCATTCAAAGTTGGCAAAGCTGTTTATCAAGCGGCACTTAACACTGAAACGTATGTCGTAGTAACAGCAGTAAGTGGAAGGTGTAATTCAATTGGGGGCAACTTGAACTTCAGCCATTCGTTGTCGTAGAAAACTACCAAGTTGCCGTTTTACTTCAGACCAACTCTAATCTAATCAATTTAATACGTTATTTTCTCTATTGAAGACAAAATATTGTATTTCAACTTTTTCGTAGAAACAAAAGAACGCTGATGTAATAAATAACTTCGGTTTTCACATGTTTATCTGCCGTAGGCATTTTCCTCAATGGTTGTGTGACATAAGAACAGTAATTGAAAGCGTACGTAGATAGGTACCAGATATATTATTGGAGGAATATCTCAAAAAATTGAATTAAACAACTTTTCTGCAAGTGCTCCAAAACTAGTAGATCACATAAAATAATTCGAAGTGGTCTGTATTCTGTCGAAACTGCCAGATGCGGATCGCGATTTCGATCTTTTTGAATCTCACAGCGCGTCGCAGACAGCTTCGACAGAACACAGACCAACTTTTACCTGCTGTCTTAACAGTGCGTTTTAGAAAATACTACAAATGGCGTGGTAAACGCCATCTGTAGTACGATGCTACATTTTAGGATTACGTATGCTCCAACAAGGTCCACTTGTGTGGATATCTACTTGCTGAAAACGAATTCCGGCGTAGCTCATCTCAACGTGATAGGCACGTTACCATAATCGAATAAAATAATTCAAAGTGGTCTAGACCTAGCGTTTACAGCGCCATTTGTCGTATTTTCTAGTAGATCACAGTCATCAAAATGAAATTCGCATATACCAAATTGGATGTTAATTCGTGGTTAAATTAAACTGGAAAAATACGTTTTGTTTTAAAAAACTATTCTTGATAACACACACTCCAAACTGCTTCAACATTTCATTGTAAGTACTTAGTCACTACTGGTTACTTTCAGAAGATTCCAGTTACGGATATAAAACACTCAGATTTACGGCCACTGATCACGCACATAGACGTGAACT